ACTGGGTTACCAGTAATTGTGTTAGCTATTAAAGTTAATTTTTTTTTGTTTGTTTTTATTAGAGCTAAAATCACGAGAAATATACGGGACACCAATAAAGAGTATATAGATATTTGGAGTGGTAAAGAACGATCATCTTCAGAAGACAAGATGTGTTCTTTCACTAAGTTTTGGTTCATTATATTATAGCAAGTATCCACAATTTTTATGGCTGTAAAACAATTAAATATCGATTACCAGCAAAATGAACATTCGATAAAAAATGAGAGCGTTTAGTTCGATCATCATTGTGGATGACGTGCAAGATGATCGTAGAATGGGTCCTCAGAGAAAACCTGCATCCTTAATTGTTGATCTGTCCGATTAGGCTAGTGTAAAGTGTTTGACAAATTTTTTAACTGTAGAAGTAATTTTAGAACCAATTTTTTAGTCGGGACTCACTGATTCTACGATGCTCAAGCTTCTTAGGTAAAATTTCATGATTGGCAGACAGTTTTAGGTGTCCTAACTTGCAGAATCTAAAAAGGCTCAAATTTGACTAGGTTATTTCTTGTTCTATCACAGGAACGGCGAGGAATGGAACAGAGTTCGCAAGGCTTTCGCGTCAAAAATGCTTCGACCAAAAGACATTCGAGATAACCTGGAAAATTTTAATGGAGTTACAAGGGATGCTATAGAACATATGGTGTCAGTGCGGGATGCAGATGACATAATTCCGAATCTCGAGGAGGAACTCGCCAAGTGGGCGACAGAATGTAAGTAAACGGTTTCATGAGAATTTGAATAGATCCATCATGGCTGTGACCTCAGTGAATGGGATGCATCACTGATGCGAGTTTTACGGTAGGCAGTACAACTTCCTTTCAAAAATAACCCCAGCGGACCCCCTAGGGAAGTAAATACCAATGGGAGAAATCAAAACCCTTTGGATATAGGGGTAAATTACAGCACGTTTGTTAAAGAAGGATTTCTTGAAACACCACTCTTTTTCCCGGACCTCCCGTGGTTTTGCCGCTGAGGACTGCAGGCTTGGGTACTCTTTTTTTCCGTGTAGCGTCGTGTTGCTTCCGTTATGTTTTGAACTCGTAATAAATTACTTTCTTTGAGGACTTCTTGCTGGTTATTCAACTGTTCTGGTATCGAGAACAATGCCTACATGGTGTTTCTTCCTCCGCAGATTTTAGTTCGAGCTGGAAATCTAAAGTCTGAGGAGTTAACATGTCGTACGCCCAGGGTTTATAGGTCTGGGCTAAGCGCAGCGAAATTCGTTTACTGGTAGTCCTGGGTACCACTCTTCAACCACAGTTTTTAAAAGCCAACGTGTTTTTCTCCTATATTTACCATCTGGCGATGTAAATAGTTAGCTGATTGCAGTCCCTGTAGACTAACTAGCCTTTCCAATATAAATTTAAAATTTATCACCTTTTTTACTGCAGAAGCAAGCTTATTTTCAACCTTGGTTCCGGAAAAATATGGGTCTTGAAAATATTGTCTCGTATAAGTTTCCCCTAACAAACTTGGCACCWGTAGAATTTGGCCAGATACCCACATCATGCGTTGTAAATGACACATCAGCGCATGAACAAATCTTGTTTTGCTGTTTTAGCTGTGGGTACATTGGCATTCGATGTAAGAGTTGGCCTTTACGATGACCCACCGAACAAGGAGACAGTGAAGATGATCAAGTCGAGCTCAGACGCCTTTTCCCTGATGGGAAAACTGAATAGAGGATGGGAAAGTTTCATCCTCCACTTCATGACGACACCCACTTACTTGAAATTTTGTAAAGCTCAAGACACCTCCATAGGTATTGGTCAGAGCATAGTGGACCAAAAGATTATGGAATTGAAGAAAGCGGCCGGAGACGATGAAGCTTTTTGCAAGGATCAGGGTTAGTAAAACTTGTTACGAAATGTATATCTGTAGTGGCCTGACCAGTGCAGATCAATTCTCTGGCAGTCTTGCCCGGACTGCCCAGAACTCGGTGAACCAAATTAAAACTGCTCTGCTTTTGTTTGTAATTAGCCGCTTTTTCAGGTGGGTAGAAAGCGGAGCGCTCATTGGACAGTAGTGGCGTTCTTTAGAGTAAATAGGATCCCAAGTTCCAACACCCTATTCCAGCGTCTCTCTGGCTCACGTTTTAGTCTCGCATTGTACTGCCTTTTCGAAATGCTTGTACTTTATGGGATTTCCTTTTAGACTAGTTATCCAGATTTAACATTTTATTCCTTATCGCTTTGCCGATTTTTGCGTGTCTGTTACATATCTTTCTGGTCCAAAGAGAGGATAAAAAATGTGAGGGTTACACCTTGGTCTCCCCAGCGCTCCCTACCCACCCACACCCCCCCACTCTCTACTCTTCCTGGAGAGGGTGCATGGCGTGGGCCTTGTTTCTCACACATTTGAACTTTACTGTCGTATTTTCCGTTTGGAATTGCATGTATTCGTGTTTACAGATATCGTCTTCGTGTTTAGCCCTTATCTCACTCTCTTCTCCACCTTTACCCCTTCCTGGAGAGAGCGGATGGCGTTAGACCGTGCAATCCCCAGTTTTTCACGCAATTGAACTTTATTTTCGTATATTCCATTTGGAATTGTAACTAACAGTCACAGATATCGTCTCCGTGATACAGGTGTGCCTCTACTGACCTACCTGATAACAAAAGGCGAACTTACACCACAGGAGATCAACACACAATCAATTGGGATGTTTAGAGCAGGAGTAGAGACGGTGAGATAATAGAAAGATTTAGCACGGCGTTTACGTGAAACGGCAAACTTCAGCTGGCCCTTTCACGTCTCACGTAAAATAGCTTGAACCTTGCTGTTTCAGCTTCGCGTGAGTTAAGGTCATGGGGGATTTAAAGGCGCCCATGTATGACATACAAGGAATAGTTTTGGTGCCCTTTTTCCGGCAATTAACATCTACTCTGTTACAGGAACGAAAACTGAAAAAAACTTACATGCAGACAAAGGCGAAACATGTTAGTTTCACGTAGAAACGGCAAAGCGCGATGTGACAGATTCGGTTAGTTTATTCTTAAGATGATTCTGCAACAAACGAATCCAATTCTCGGAATTCAATCCTGAAGAATCTTTCCTTGACGTTATTCCACAGACGTCCACTGGACTGCAATGGCTCCTTTACGATCTGGCCCGTAATCCGAAGGTGCAGGAGAAGGTGTATGAAGAAGTGACCTCTTTAATTGGGCCCCATGGAGATTTTACCCCCGAGAGCTTTGCGAAGTTGACGTACATCAAAGCTTGTGTCAAGGAGAGTATGAGGTGAAAGATGGTTGTGTTTGTAGTGCAAGAGTATCACTTACTGGGAAATCTGTACTCATATTGGTCTGTGTATACAGAAGGTGTGATGGGATGAGAAGGGGGGAGGGGGGAAGTCCAAGCTTTTATTTCAATTTTTTTTCAATTCAGAGCTTATACAATCCAAAAAATTTCCAAGACAAGTACATAATTGAAACGTGAGTAGTGGTATGTGATCCTTTCATTGAAAGAGGTTTGGTGCCTGAGAAGCAGTGAAAAAAAAAAACCCTAAAGTCTAAGAGGGGGGAGGTGCCAGTCCCCCTCCCCCCGAACCCTCCCTGGTCCCAGCCCTCGACCCCTCTTTAGGATCAGTGGTATGTAATACTGTCATTGCGAGAAATTTGGTACCACACAAGTCTGAAGGGGAAGGGGTGCCCAGGTCCCCGAAATCCCCCTGATCCCGGCCTACCCCACACCCTCCCCCTTAGGATTCGCCTCCGAGTTACTCTCCGATGCAACGTACACTGCGCATTACTCATAAAGTGTTTGTTTTTTTTTTTTTTACATATATATTTCAAAAGAATGCACCCTGCTGCTTCCGACTGGGGACGTATTCTTAGCCAAGATGTGGTTCTCTCTGGTTACCATGTACCATCTGGTGTAAGTGAAATCGTTGAGTACTTTGAACAGGATGTTAGCCTTGTTTAGAAAAGCAAGTTCTCTGCCTCAGTCTAGTCTCCTATGTGGATGAAAGGACTCGATCAGATCCTCCTGTCCAAATTTGAGAAAGAGCAGATTTATCAAGATGGAAGTTTGTTAGCGAAGATGACTTAATAGACATGAACCAAGTATATTGGGGTGGACTTAGGAAAATGCTTCCTCAGCAATTTCTGTTAGGAATAGATTTTGCAGAAAAAAGTCAAAACCACGGCCATGTTTTACGAAACTAAGTGCGCTGTGTTTCCTTCGGAAAACGAGTGCTAGCTTTTCTAAGATCCACATTCCTCAAAGAAACAAATCCGTGGCTTTTCTACGCAACTTAGACTTTAACTGACACTTTTTTTTTTTTTTTTCAGACAATCGTGGTATATTCCAATTATCTTTCTGGGCTCTCGGATGAGTTGTTCAAATGTCCTCTGGAGTTCAGACCTGAACGTTGGTTAAACGAAGATTTGGGAAGAGCTCATCCATTTGCCACTTTGCCATTCGGAGTTGGACCACGCATGTGCATTGGTGAGAAGTATAGTTGTTATGAACGACGAGGAGAGTTTGTTGTTTTAAACGTGTCTCCAAAAAAATTGAGCATGATAAGTAGTGATTGGTCTTACAAGTAACGCCTCTATCTCAAATAATCAGTCACAAGACCAAAACCAATGGTCGCTTAAGCTCTCGTGTTTTCAACGTTTCGTACCCTTTGGTGTTTTTGTTACGTTCTCGACTGCGATTGCGAGTAAATCGAGATGACGCCATTGAATCCAATGTATCCCGCAAGAACAGTTACTTTCAATCGGATTTTCCCCTACGGAAATCAGAGACGAAACATAAATAAGTTTCATGAGGCCCCACGACCCACCCAATGGCATTACTAATATCGCTTAACCGCGAAAAATAAATTAAATTGCAGAGTGTCAACTTAGCTTTTTTGATTCGATAATGATGATGATAGAAACAAAAAAAACTGAGGAAATGACGGTAATGATTGACATAATTGGTTATCTTCATCGGAATGAAAATAAAACACAAATTGTTACCTTGGTAGGTGGTTTAAACTATCGTTTTGCGAAAGTGGTGTCACTTTTTGTTAGTGCTTGCCCCTTGATTTAAAGTTTTCAGTGCGAAGACTACCGAAAAAGGGGCCGATTTAATTCACTAAGGTCACTCATATAATGAAGTTCTAGTCCATTCAATATTGTGACTAATATATTTGAATGATCTTTCTCCTAGGCCGTCGCATCGCTGAGGCTGAAATATATCTTTTGGCAACAAAGGTAAACGTGTTTCTTTACATTCAGTTTACATGATTGTAACGTTGTAGCAATCTCAACTGAACTTGCCCGCTCCACCTTTTTGGCGATCCCTTGCCTTGCCAATTTTCTGGTTTTATGGCCACCTCAAAGCGTTCTTTTTCTTTTTCTTTTTTACCTGTAAACTCTGCACCCATCAGATTAATCAGGATTTCAATCAGGCAACCCCATTCAACCCCCGACTGAATTGCTACGAATTTTATGACCTGACTCATTTGATCATTACAACTGTTATCTCCAGTTCTCAGGAACAATAAAACGCCCACCTCTGTCATATTCGCCCTGACTTCCTTTTTATGATTTTAACGGATCTTGGTCATGCGTACGCCCGGAACCAAACGTGGGGTGCCATGCTGGCCCAGCAGAAAGGGAGTGATGGACCTTTGTTGCAGCCCCATCTGATTGCCTGCCGGCATGCATAATGGCCAGTAACTAGCTAACTAACCATTCATGCTTACGTGTTTTCATTTTCAGCTGGTGCAACGATTTGTCCTGGAATATCACGGTGAACCAGTCAATATGAAGTTTAGACTGCTGTGTGTTCCTGACAAACCACTGAAGATAAAATTTATTGACCGGGCGTAACTTGCTTAACGCGATGTTCGTCCCCGTTGTTGTAAACGAAAAATAGCCGGTTTTATCTTAGGGTATCGGCGGGATATATCTCATAAAACAGGTCGTTTTAAAAAAAAGAGTCTGAATGTGAAATCATGTCGAGGAGTTTAGCTTTTTATTTCTGTTTCATTAGTTTTGTTTTTATCGTTGTTGTTGTTGTTGTTGTTAAAACCAAGGCAAACCCTTTGACAAATGTTGACTTAAAGTTACGCCATAAATGAATACTTGAATTGACCACAAAAAATCAAAGAACTAATATATATTAAATCAAAATGCAAGCGCCTTGTTTCTTCTTGTATGTCATGAAAGAGGTTGAATTCTGTATGCAATTTTGAAGCACTGACGCGCCTGAAAACCAGAATCTTTTAGATCACGCTCACGTTTAGGCAACCATATTCACATATGTAATAACATCCTTGCTGCCCTCCACATTCGCCCTGATAAAAGTAAATGTGAGAGGCTCCAACTGCGCTGTTCGTACATTCCTTGATGCACTCAACTTTGTATGGAAAAATTCAGGATTGTTACATTAAGACTTGCAGGGAGTCATTCATTGGATTTGACGGGGAAACAGGATGTAAACACGTTAGTCGAATCCGGCCATTTATTAAGCAATAAACGGCACTTTCTAATGATTTACCGGTGTCATAAGCCACCCAGGAAGTCGGGAGATCACGAGAAAAGTTTTTACACCAAGAACCGGTCGCGAGTGGTTTACATACTTGACGCGTATTATTTCATTTTCTCGGATGAATGAAGTGTGTTTGAGAAAAAGATAATTTTATTCTTATTATTCAGTTTGCTAGTCCTCAATAAACCCATAAAAAAGCACGAGAAGCCAATCAAAGTGTTGCAAACTGAATAAAAACATTGGATTCTCATCTCAATCGCAATGGCACCGAAACAGGAGCGGCGAGAACCTGAATGGAAATTGTATAGAAAAGTGACGAGAAACAGCGATAAGCAAGATGAAGGCACAAACTTTAAGTTATGGGATAACGTTCGAACATTTAATTTTCAACAGGTAATTATTGCCTTCTCTTGATAACAATACAGCGCTTTTGTCCATGTGACGTCATGCGTACCGGCCAGACTTTCAGTTGTCTTCAAAATTATGGACTCGACTTCGAAACCTTAGCGCATTTGGAGACAATATTCGCAAGCCCATGCCTCTCTTTGGAATCGTAAACCATCGCAAAGCTTGAGTTGGTGATTGTGGCTCGAGGAGAAGTGAAGGTTAAGATTTTGGGGCGAACGGTAAGGAATGTACACAACAAAAAATTATGCAAAGTAATCACATTTTGTTTTGATGAGGTTCGGTATCGCAATGTGAACTCTTACTCATCGTTACCTGTTGCTTAGAAGAACTTCTTAATTAGTGTAAGCTTTGATTCTACTGATGATGAAATGCGAATGTCGAAATAGTTTTCTGCCTCGATGAAATAAAAGGTGGATGTGAATTACCCCGATTGAAATTGAAACTGAAAAGGGAAGTCGGCACTTAAGCAGGGACTGCTAGGATCTTTTGTCATGTTTACTATATCCTTTTTGTTTAAGTTTTTTCGTTCCCGCGAGTGTGGCATTTCGATCAGTCCAATTGTGTTTTCGATATGGTGTTTCAGACACATTTTACGCATTTTACGGTAAATGTTAGAAGAGAAGGATCTATTTGGTTGGTTTCTGCCCTTATGCCCATGCAGTTTTCAGTCGTGCACAAAAGCGATATTGCTGATAGATAGATAGATAGATAGATACATAGATAGAAAAATATGTAACCCTTGTTCGATCCGAAGTCGGTTGAAGTCGCGGTCGATATGTGTATGTCACCTTGTGTAGTTTTTAATTCAATGACAGTTCGTGTTTGACTGACTTTTTACAGATACAAAACTCAGTCCTCGACAAGTGTTAGTTTACACCATCGTCAATGTAAACAAGCATTCGTTCAAACACGTGTTTCACCACAGTCGACAAGAATATCGCAATCTGATTGGCCAATTTATCGTTGTCACTAGATAAGAGTACACCAAGTTCGTGTCACGCAAAGCTTTAATCAGCTCTCAAACATAGGCTCCATTTCCACCGTTGGCAATCGAGCCTACTCTCAAACATGGATGGCTAGAGGTTTAGCGTGGTCGGTACTCTTATCGAGAACGAACATTCGTCGTCTCAGTGGTCAAAATTTGTTGCAAACTCACTCAGCTGCACCTCCTGACGGAATTTTACTAATCCCCGTTTTACTAGTCCGCATTTTACTAGTCCGCGTTTAACTAGTCCGCACTTTACTAGTCGGCGTTTTACTAATCCAGTCCAGTCCAGTCCAGTCTGCGAAATACCATATGCCGTTGTCGATAAAAAAGTAAACCACGCTAAACCACTGTCGATTTGTTAATCGTGAATTGGCGGGCTTATCCATCTCAAGCCAAGTGTGATCTGTGCACCTGAGCCCAGTAACGTTATTCACTGGAGTAATCTCGATTTGGTGGAACGAGGTGTACGTTTTGCTAGAGAGTGATTTATACGTTTGATAATGATAATGTTATCCCCTCTTTGAACAACTGTATCACAAGCGATAAAACATTTTTCAGTTCTATCGCACAATAGTAACTTTGAAACGATGGGGATACAAATTCACACATTGCAAACTTGAATCATATAACAAAATGCCGAAAATGAAAACTTTCAATTTTGAAAATCAGAATATTGAAATCTACTCAAGATACGTACAGAGATCAAATTAATATAAAATGGGTCAAGTTGAACGAGAGTCAAACATTTACCACCCACAGCGAGAAAACCTGACCAAGAAACCTTATTATTCTCTTTCGTGGAAAATATTCAGGTTCTGGATTAGACTTGTAAACCAAAAACACCCACGGTTTGTCAAAAGTTATTGTTTTAATCAAGATAACAACAACTATGGTGAAAACATAATTATCAAATAGGCTGAAAATATTTTACATAAAATGTCAAAAAAGTCCAAGAACTTCAGCTTCCCGGCGATGTCGTCAGATTTGCATACTGTTCGAGATAACGGAGGCCACTCTTTTTCGCAGCATGCATATTGATTTTACTTTTTAACTGTCAAAATGTGGCCAATTACGATTGAGGTTAAGGTAAGATCAAGTTGGAAAATCAGAGAAGGTGAAAATGAGGGCAAGAAAAACAACCTTTTTCAATTTAAATGTATTTCCAGGAAAGGTGCTTGTACCTTATCCTTATACCAAAAAAAGATATCCTCTCTAGGCTCGTATTTATCATCGTCATCATCTATAAATAAACATCATGAGAGTGACGTGTGTCTGAAACCCTTTTTGGTCGCAAAATATGCGAAGTCCTTGTGCTATCCAGTCCATATTTTTCTTTGCAACTATTTTGTTGCACTAGACACGAAAGGGAATTTTTTTCGGCAAGCTTAGAAAGCAGTGTGAGCCAGAGTACCTTTTTACGTACTGTTTCTTGAAAAAAAATTGTGCAGATACTTTTCAACCCATTAAAACTGACAATAGCACCTTTCTGTCCTCAGTAGCAACACGGGGCTGCCTTCCTCAATAGCCTGCCGACATCGTAAGGACAGAACATTAACTGCGTGGCACCCCTTAAAATATAGTTTTCTAAACCTGGTAAAAACATTTTAAGGATTCATGGGCAGTTGAATGGTTGTTCGTTTAACATTCAGTTACTCAGCGAAACGTATAAGCAGTTATTAATATTAGGGAAATAAACAATCTTTGCATGAAGAAAACAAATTCATCTTCATTAACTTTCTCTACACACCTTGTAGGAAAAGCAACAGAAATGATGATGATTACTATTGCGCATGTCTTGACTGTGATCCCATTTTCAAGCCTTAAAAAAGTCATTCCAGTTAATGGAACGTTAATACTTTTACTTGAGCATGTAATATTTGGTTTTTCTCTTAGTTATGACGGAAAGTTTGGTTGAAAGGATGTCTGCAGGACATAACCGAGGAGAACGCACTTTGAACGGTTGTCATAACAACCCACCCGAGCTTAGTATTGACATTCCAGGCATGCGGGACCTTACAGTGGCAGCTAAAGAATACCCGAGCCAGACAGATATTCTCTTTTTGACCGTTGAAGAATGTGAGTTCCTAAGTTGCTATGCTCACTTGCAAAACCCATTTCGTTATTATGTGCAGGATCTTGGCCACGTATGCTTTGGCATTGTGGGTAATGAAGAAGGTGCACACGTGAAAGTTGCCTTGATAATGTACCATGGAAGTTCCTCTGTTCCGGGAAACTCTTTAATTACCGTGAAAAATGCTGCCTCTAAGCTAAGGCCTAAGGCAGTTATATCTGTGGGATATTGCAGTGGCCTGAACCGCGAGAAAACCAAATTAGGAGATGTGATAGTGTCTAAGACGCTCACTACGTACCCGTCCAAGGTTGTTTTGGATACTCACGAGTACTCCACTGGAATCAGAACTGTTGTAAGCCGAAACTTTCTGAACCTCATCAAACACATTGCTGATGGGTGGGACGCTCCACTAAAATCTCATGAAACTCTAGAAGTAGAAGTACACACAGATGGAGAGTTTTTAAGTGGTCCAGAAAAGATCAGTGCAGATTGGCGGCGAGCAGAACTCCTCCAAAGAAACCCCCAAGCAACTGCAATTGAAACGGAGGGAGAAGGTAAGTTTGATCTAAACTAAGGTCCTTTTCATAATGATTAGATGCCAAAGTAATGTCGGTTTACTTGTGCCATGATAGAACTCCGATTATTAGCATTCAGGGTTGCCTTTTTGCACTGTTGATCACTCGCCAACAATTTGGTGCGTTACCCCACTCGCGAATTTCCAAGGGCCGGGGAAAGGATTCCTTCAAATAATGGTATTTGAAGTGAGTGGCATGCAATTTGTATTGGTAATTGCATGATTTTGAGTGACATTTGAGATAAATTAGCACGAGTAAATTTTTTCAAAGGCTATTCGACAGCTGATATATTCCAAATTGCACGAGAAAAAACATGCTATAACTATTACACGCTTGTAATTAATCTTCCTCGTGTTTCGCACGCTGTTTCGTAAGACTCCTCGATAATTTTGTTCAGCGCCTGCAATACTTATTATTATAGCCGTTTTTGGAGGCCCAAAACTTATAGACTTTGAGTCAGCTGTTTGTCGTTTCTTAGGTGATTTTTGTTTCTAGCATTCTCCCTCAAACTCGGAACTAAAACGTCGCAATTTTCTCCTTCCCTTTCCGCCATTTTGTTTTATTGAGCCTTCGTGGGTTACCTGTCAATCAATTTATTTCAACTTTCTGTACCCAATTTCAACTTACTGCGTTTTTAGATATTAATTGAGTTTCTCGGCCGATTAACAGGCTAAAATGTTTGTATGGTCATACGCATGATTTCAGAACCAGATCAAAATTGTACAACACGAAGTTCAATTACTACATTATTACATCCATATTGAAATCGCAAAATTCAATTGCTCAAATACAGGATTTTTCTTAGTCTGTTCTGTTCTGATACTTTATTATCCAATACTGAGCTAGTTTGTAAGAAGTTGCTATAGCTGTATCTCATTTTCCTGAAATTTGATTGGTTACGGTCTTTAAACAAGCCTTGAAATCTCAATAGTTGTAGTTGTTTTTTTTTTTTTGGAAAGCTTTCTCATTGGCTGGGGAAAAGATGCGCTTTGGAGAAAAAAGATTCGCGATTCGTCAATTAATCGCACCCGTGAGAGCCAATCAGATTGCAAGGATCGCCAGATATTTAAAAATTGATGTTATTATAAATATCTCAATATGAAAACAACGGATTGAGCCTTTCAGTATTTTTAGCGTGGATAATTTTTGAAACTGGCGTCGTAGTGCAGTAGTCCTCTCAGGGTATCCCTGTAATTACTGTTTCAGAGAGAACATATGAACATCAACATAGTTTATATCTGACCACTTCCAGCCCAGAGGCTGAATTACGGGTGCAGTGTAAGGTTGAGAAGAGACGTCAGCATATCAGGCGCCTCTGGCAGCCGCTTCAGTCCATCGATCTCACCTTCCCACCCATCCCAACCAGGGGAGGACATCCATCACACAGTAATCTCTTGTGTGGGAAATTAACGTCTCCTACCCCAACCCTGCAGGAGACGGGACCTCCATTTATTCGTCCCTATCCGAGAAGACTGGAATATCTAACCATTTCTTGATGTTATAGAAAGGTAGCAAATTCTTCTCAATTATTTTAAGACCTTGAGTGTTGGTCCGGCCGGGGCTCGAACCCTCGACCTCCTGCACAACAGTCCAGCACTCTATTCATTGAGCTAACCGGGAGGTGGTAGCAAAGGCTACAAGAAATGAAGAGGGATTTGCACTTTGGCAGACAAGATTATACTGACATGTTCTTACTGCTACATAACCAGGGGTGTACGCCATACAAATCGTCAAAGCATTCTTTCTGTTTGTCGCTTGCAGGGCTGTTTACTGCTGCATTTGATCTTGGCATCGAATGGCTCCTAGTTAAAGGCATCGCAGACTTTGCTGATGGAACAGACTCCAGAAGTTCTCTCCATTGGAAACGCTTTGCCAGCGTCATGGCAGCATCTGTTGCTTTTAATCTTATAAAAGATCCGTATGTTTTTAACGACTGGCCCTCTGACAAAGGTAACGTTTTCAATTTTTCCTTTTCTCCTTTTCCTTCTGTCCCTTTCTTCTCACTTCTCTCCTCTTCTCTCTTCCCTCTTCGCTCTTCCCTCTTCCCTCTTCCCTCTTCCCTCTTCCCTCTTCCCTCTTCCCTCTTCCCTCTTCCCTCTTCCCTCTTCCCTCTTCCCTCTTCCCCCTTCCTTCTTCCCCCTTCCCTCTTCCCTCTTCCCTCTTCCTTTTTCCTTCTCCCTCCTTTTTTCTCCTCTTTTTCTCTTCCCTTTTCTCTTCTCTCTTCTTCCTTCTTCCTTCTCTCTTCTCTTTTATNTCTTCCCTCTTCCCTCTTCCCTCTTCCCTCTTCCCTCTTCCCCTTTCCTATTTTAACGAAATCCCACATAGCATCAAAGAGACATTCAGACGATTCAATTTACTTAGAGGTTTTAACTTTTTTTTTTAGATCCTTTTGATCCAACAGAAATTATTGAAAACATTCGCAAATCCTACAAAGTCCGTGAGGGTCGGCTGGCACCGTTTCCCTGGTGTGAGCAGTTTCACTTCTCCTTTGACGACATCTACACCAGACTTAAAGTGGTCTATAGAAAGAACACGAGAGGAAAAGCTACTGAGAGGGTTGTTACGATGTCTGAAATTTTCAACCCTCACGAAGAATGCGGAGAACCAAGAACAGTGCTTATTGAGGGAAAACCTGGTATGGGAAAGACTACTTACTGTAAAAAAGTTGTTTTCGACTGGGCTACAGGAAAACACGCAACCGAAAATTGCTTTACAAACTTCCTAATGGTGCTTCTGATAAAATGTCGTGATGTTCAGTCTGACCTTTCGGAAGCCATTGATGATCAACTTCTACCTCGAGATGTCGGTGATGGGCAAAGAAAGAGATTCTTCGACTTCATCCGCCAAAATCAATCTAAAGTTCTCCTGGTTCTCGATGGATTGGATGAAGTTTCTGAGGAGAAACTACCTTTGTTTTCAGAAATTATTCAAGGCAGAGTACTGCCAACATGTCGTGTGGTTGCTACAGCACGCCACGAAGCCGGAGTAAAAGTTCGAAAATTCTGCGACACGCTGCTGGAGGTCGAGGGATTCACTGCAAAAGATGCACAGTCATTCATCACCCGTTTCTTTAGAGAGAGCCCCCAATTGGCCCCGAAGCTTACCGAGCGATTGCTCAGAGATGAGAATTTAAAAGACATAGCGGCGAACCCTCTCAACACCGCGCTTTTTTGCCTGGTTTGTGAAGAATTTAACGGTGCTTTTCCTGAGAGCAGAATGGCACTATACATGTTAATAGTGGAGTGTGTTCTAAGGAGATACAGGGCAAAGAAGGAGCTGCCAGAAATCGGCGAAGAAATAGTTCAACTCTATGAAAGCCAATTAAAACACCTTGGCTGGATAGCTTTGAGGGGTTTACACAAAGACAATTTGGACTTTGACGAGAAGGAGCTTGGAAACCACAAATCAAGTGATTTACCCGGATTTGGATTTCTTTCCGTTCAGCCCGCAGGCAGTAAACTAAGACCATCTAAACGTTATGCCTTTCTTCACAAGAGTTTCCAAGAATGGTTTGCTGCATACCACCTCAGCTGTCAACTTCAGAATGAAGAAATCAGCACCGACAACATAGCTGCAGACAGAAGATATCGTCATCAGCTGAAAGAAGTGCTTCTGTTTACATGTGGAATGCTAGCACAACGATGCGAGAAAACAGCAATGACCCTTATGAAAAGCATTGCGACACAGTTGAACCAGGAGACCGAGAGAGAACTCGCTGGTGGTTTGAGGATTGTGGTTGAGTGCATCAATGAATGCAAAAATGATGGAGGCGGCAATCTTGAAATAAACTTGGCTGCCTCTTTTGGGTCTGCTTTGCAAGTTAAATCTGTTTCTCTACGGAGCGGGGAAATGAATGACGATGGCGCAGTCATTTTAGCCAATGTTCTCAAAGAAAACAGGACCGTGACAAATTTGAATCTGTCTCGTAATAACATTGGTGATGATGGTGCTACTGGCCTGGCTGAAGCCCTGAAAAGCAATGTATCTCTGAAAGAGTTGAACTTGTCTCGCAACAAAATCGGTGGCGTCGGTGCTGCAAGTTTGGGAGAGGCTTTGAATGGTGAAACATCTCTAGAGGTATTGGATTTGCGTGAAAACAAAATTGGTGAAGCCGGTTTTGAAGCTCTGGCTGAGGGTCTTAAAAGTAACTCATGCCTGACAAAGTTGTCTTTGTTTAACAATAGCGCTGGTGATACCGGTGTTACTGCTCTAGCTAAGGGTCTTAAGTCTAATTCATCTCTGAAAGAGTTGTATCTGTTTAGTAATAATCTTGGTGATGATGGTGCTGCTGCACTTGCTGATGCTCTGAGTTATAGTTCATGTTTGACTCTGTTGTACCTTTGTCGCAATAGAATTGGTGATCCTGGCGCTGCTGCCCTGGCCTTGTGTTTGAAAGATAATGCATCTCTGAAAGAGTTGAATTTGTCTCAGAATAACATTGGTGATGCTGGTGTTACTACCCTGGCAGAGTGTTTGCAACAAAATACATCTTTGGAAAAGTTGTACTTAAATGACAATAAGATTAGTAATGTTGGTGTTGCGGCTGACTGTTTCAAAGAAATTACTAAAGTTGTCCTTGTCTGGTAACACATTTTTGACTCGGGTACCTCTGGTGTGACTGCTGCGCTCAGTAAAATCTAAATATCACTGTATAGATTAAAAGTGGAGCTGGAGACCTTTTAGAGTTAAGCTCAACATATGGTGCCTGTGTTGTAGTTCAACAGACTTTGATAAGTACTATTGTCATTTTAGTAGCAACGATTTTAACTCTGAGTAGCTGAAAGTAAACCAACTTTAGTTACCAATACATTAAATGAGCAGAATTTTAACCCTAGTTAAATAATATTTATTTATTTGTTTATTTATTTACTCGTCGTTATATACGAGTATACTTTAGTATACCAGTGAAGTAAGATCACTAAAGAACAAGATAGAAATGTACCAACCATTGTTTGCTATCAAAAGAATTTGCGTCTGTCGTTTTACACTGCTAAGTGAATTCTTGACTAGAGCGGCAAGAAATTTGGTCTCAAGATTTGAATGTATTGATCTTAACCAAATGATGAGTATTATCCTTAATGCACACTTCTAGGAGTAAACTGTGCACCAAAAGGGAACCTTTATTTCGTACGCCGTCACGACATTTCACTCTTGTAACAAAACGTCGTATATGTTATGCAATAAATGTTTGCCTTGAGAGTTTGAAATGATATGGAGTTCCAGGAGTATTTTTCTTTTCAATAAATGATCATCTGTAAACTTACCGGCAGTTTGCATGTAAGTCAACAAAATCAATAATCCTCGCCATGAATTGTTCTTTTCTCTTTTTGTGAAAAAACCAACAACTTCCAAACTAATATAATTGGTTTGAGGCGTTTGTAACCGATTGGATGACCAGGTGCTACTGTTTTTCTAGAAAAATCACAGACCGAAGAATAGCAAACGCAAAGAAATCAAAGATGACCTCCAACACTAAGCTAAAAATTCCCTCAAGAGAATGAGTCGAAAATTCCCGAACTGCATGGACATAATTCAGACTAGCTCATCGCGCTTCAATTGTTATGGGGACGAACTAGTCACCAGTTCAGGCGCGATATCGACATATGCGCAGTCGCTCATCAGCTGGTTGAAGCGTTTAGCCCCCTGCCCATAATTGAAAGTTTAAAAGGCGAATTAGCAAAAAGACGGGCAAGTACTTTGAACCTGTTTCTTTATTGGCGATAAATCTTTTTTTTTACCAGCATAGTTGGTTTTAATCGTCGCGCAGGGATCTTACAAGCAGTAAACTAAACTGAAAAAACAAAAAATCTGGAGAGGAGGATAAGGGCTACCAAATTATCCCCATCTAAGCTGTAGTATTTACCTAGATACTAATGGATACAGAGTGGCAAATTGAGGCTTCGTAGCTCAGTTGGTAGTAAAGTACCTAACTGGAACCAGGGAGGCGTGGATTCGAATTTCGTAGAAGCCTGAGATTTTTCAGGTTGCTAAAAATTCCAGCTCAGCTGCAAAGATCATTGCTCTACTTTGACTATTGGTTTCATACTCTATTGCCTTTAAAACGAAACTTTTAAGTTTAAAATCCGGGTAGTTAAGTAATCGCTGTTGTGCTTCGCCAAAGCTGCCTTCTGAAATGTAAGCCGTCTCCGCCATATAAACACTTATGTATATCGAAAGAATCTTACATTTAACTTTTTTCTGCAACATCGTCACTGTTTACTTTAGTCTTCATCACTTTCTTGTCTTTTAGCAATTTAAATTCAGACAGCTGAGAAACTACCGCAGGTTCATATCACTGTATGATGTAAACTAAACTTAAAAGAAATGTTTCCTCGTCAAGCACGCCGTAAATTACGCACGATCAATGAATTTTATCCGTATTGGTCTGTCAGGAACAGTCATTAGTCTGAAAGTTGGTTCAACTGGTTCTTCGTGATATTCGAGAACGAATCGCTGGACCAACTGAAATGAAAAAAAAAAGAGGCTTTAGGAGCATAAGATCTAAAAGCAAGCCAAGCAAACTGACTACTGGTTTGGTAGGGAATGAGGTGCACTATTTAGTAATGACATTACACTACTAGTTACTACCAGCAATTCGTTGCGTTTTATTGACGGTTGTCGGTATCACGAGGGGCTTCATCCTCTCTTGCCAGTACCCATTTTTATTACACGACTCGGGCAGTCAGAGGGCCAATAACTAAAATCAACCAATCAAAATGCTTTATTGCCGGTCAATATTCTCTAAGTATTGGACCGGGCACTGTCCCGAATGGTCCCGAATGATACCGTTCTTGTGTCCCTTTGAACTTCAGTCGTATAATAAATCTCTTATTAACCAAGCTTGCTCGGGATCGTATTGGAAGAATATCGGCCCTCGGTCTTTTTCAAGACCTGGGGCCGATATTCTCCCAGTACGGCCCTCGCGCTTGGTTAATAAGATATATTATATTTCTGGGTGGTGAAAGACACTGTAAGAGTCAAGTGTTTTGCCCAAGAATATCATACTTATCACTCAGTAAGGGCTCAGACCTAAACACATTTCGGGAGTCTCTCGAGTCCAGCGAACTAGTTACTAGGCAACTGCATGTCATACACGTGATATGATATGACTTTAAACTTAGATATGTGGGGATTAAAACTAACATTGCAAGGAAGAAATAGGACGGAAATCACTCCAGAACACGTATCTGTTGAAAAAGAACCCAATTCTGAACAAACTTACCTTTGTTGCTAGGAGGTACATTTCAGCCTCAGCAATGCGACGCCCTGAAAAAAGAAATAACAATTTTAAATAAATCGGTCAGAGTGAATCATGGGACGTTGTCCGTATCAGTGGCCTTGAAAGGTAAAACCTCGTTAGGTGGTCATGAAGAACACAGCACCTCTCGATATCAAGTCCAGCGTATTGATCCCTTGGAAACATAGTACTTTTGAACTCTTCCGAAACACAAAGAGAGGTTCGATGCTACTCTGCAAGTTAGGGAGTTGTTCGCCCGCTTGCCCTGTAGGGCGGAAGGGTGGGGGTTGAATTTTATTACAGATTCGAAAAAAAGAAAAAAGAAAAGACTGAAAAAATCTATGGGTAACTGTTAACAATAAACAAGTATAAACTTTGCTCGGTGACGTTTGAGTGTCAAGCATTAAATTCTCATCCTATTTATTACTCTAAAATTTCTCACCAATGCACATGCGTGGTCCAACTCCAAAAGGCAGAGTAGCAAATGGGTGAATCTTTCCCAAATCCTCATTCAACCAACGTTCCGGTCTAAACTCCAAAGGAAACTTAAACAACTCCTCAGAGATCCCAGCGAGGTAGTTGGAATACATCACGGCTGTCTAGAGAAAAAAAAAACTGTCTCGCCTACGATGGGCCAAAATAATGCTGGTTCAAAGTGTGTAGCTTCGGGATATTCTGTTTACAGCTGTGATGATGACGATGATGACGATGCTGCTGATGATGATGATAATACTGATGATGATGATGATGACGATGAAAATAATGATGATGATGATGATGATGAAAATGATGATGATGATGATGATGACTATTATTATTAATATTATTATTATTATCATTTTATTATGAATTTTTCATTTTAAGCTTTTTTTCCCTTCTTTCTAGTAAGTGTGTAAGCGAAGGAGTCCCTTAGCGTTTGCGTATATTATTCCGCTCTCGCTTCTGATTTAATTCCTCTCATACCTTGGGCGACAACGTCATAGAAAAAAAAAAGCCTGTGAACGGTTTATATAAGAAAAGCCAATAGTATAAGAGCTTGGCGGCTTGACTTGGTTTCTGTTCGTTCTCTTTTCAAAATGCTATGTTTGACTTTCTAACCAAATATCAGATGTTAAGAGATTCCAAAAGAGTATTGGAATTCCAAGAAAGGAATACATCTTAAAAAAAAAACTCAAAAACAGTTTTACTTACCCCAGATGGGACATGGTAACCAGATAGAACCACATCTTGCGTCAGAACGCGTAACCAACGGAACGACCCAGGATGCATTCTGATGAAATAAGATACGGTGTCCTGTAATACTGCAACGGATATGTGGTTTTGGGGTACAAACATGACAGGACGGAAAATGCGTGTACTGTAAGTACCTCCCGTTGTCCCATACGAAGCCTTAGAAAACTAAGGCATCGTATGGGACAACGGGAGGTACTTAAAGTGCACGAGTTTTCCGTCCTGTCATGCTCGCATGGGGTTTTGAACACAAAAACAAGTACACATTTACTTATGTATAGCTTTCGAATTGAAGCTTAAACAAGAATTGTTTTGTGACTAGTTTTTGAATTTTTTTATGGATCGATCACAAGTTCGATTATTGTTTCAGTAAAAAGTCATAAAAATATGTCGTCAGATTTCCCACATGCCTGATGTAGAAAAATATTCAGTTGCTTTCGCCACGAAACGCAGAGGAACCAAGAGAATTCAATTTTAATCGATTTCATTTCTTTTTTTTTTTCGCACAACTCTTTACTATCAAAGAAGGTTTGGTCGATTTGAAGCCGAGTTTGTTTATCGTTTTATATAGACCACACTTGATGTGCGCATGACCTTCGTGGATATTCAAATACAACAAACGACCATCCAAAAAGACATCGTGGATTATCTCACGAGTCAGCAAGACGGAGAGATGTAAAACTGGGCAAAACTTCACTTTAAATCCTCCTAGGAAATACTTTTTTACTATGGTCAGTCTCGATAACGTAATCGACGTAATTTGTAAATGCAGATTACTGTGAGCATAGCTTTTTCCATTATTAGCCAATGCTCCTGCAAAAATTTTGTCACACACGCAAAACTTCTATCTACCTCAGGCTTTCTTTCACACAAGCCTTAACGTAATGCAGCTTTGCAAAGCTCTCGGGGGTAAAATCTCCATGGGGCCCAATCAAGGAGGTCACTTCTTCATACACGTTCTCTTGCTCTCTCGGATTACGGGCCAGATCGTAGAGGAGCCACAGTAATCCGGTTGCCGTCTATGGAGAATGTAAAAAGAAAGATTCTTTTAGATTTGGTTAAGAAAATTTGATTTTCTTGCTGGAAAAGTTCTCTTACTTTTCTCATCGTGAATCATCCAACTAATCCAGACAATATCATTGTGGTAAACGTAGCAATGACACCAACAACTAATCCTTTGTAATAGGGGAGGCGTGTGTAAGGTGATGTCTACTTTCATAGTACGTAGTCAGTTTGAAACGTGACAAGATGTACATCATACTATTAATCATCTTGTGTCGTGTACTAAAAAACTTTTCAACTGCATGATTTAAGAATGTTTATCATCATCTCCCTTTCCGGTCGGAATAAGGTTTTAGCCCTTTAATTCCTAAGATCTGATTGTTAATTCTCTCCTCTAGCTGTTACACATTTCCTTGTAAATTGGTTACGATAACTTGATGTTCAATCAAGGTAACAACTCCTACATGATAAGTTTGAGTATTCTCATTCCCTGTTTGCTGGATCATGTATGGATATTATTGGGAGAAGTTACGTTAACCACTTCTGGGAGTTAAAAGGTTAAACTGGTTCCCCGATTTCTCATGAATTGCCTATCCCTTCGAATGTTAATGTTTTCGCCCTTGTTATCATGAAGCATATCAGTCCACATTTGTGTTCGCCATAGGAGTTATTCAATCCCCTTTGAAACTTTCTATGATTACCTTACCGTTTCTACTCCTGCTTTAAACATCCCGATAGATTGCACGTTGATCTCCTGACGTGTAAGTTCGCCTTTCGTTATTAGGTAGGTCAGTAGAGACACAGCTATGATGCAAAGACGATATCAAATCAATCAAGTGTCACCAGATGCTTGTGACCTATTCAAGGTTATAAGCTTCTGGTGTCCATTGAGCAACTACAAACCGACCCCTCTACTAACAGTCAACTGAAAACAACGTAAGGTTAATGTTAGGGGTGGGGTAGATGCGCAGTCGCTCTGATACTGACATTGATCCGAGCCACGTGACAGGGAGTATTGCTATTCCCCTGGATAGGATGCTAGTCCATTGAGGGTCATCC